TATTTCGATTCAAATTTGTATGAATGTACAAAATTAGTTTATATAAGAATGATCTCAAATCTATGTAGTGATTTTGGCATAAACCATCATGTTTTTAAACTTAGAAACTCGTAATTATTCATATATCAATACTGAGAATAATTCTCCATTAAATAGAAATGATTGTTGAAAATAAGTAGTGGATGGTTACGAAATAAAAACCCAATTACAAAATTAATGAAAAACCATGTATCAGTTGGTTACCATGAAGCTAATAACACATTAGTGGCTATTCTCATTAACGGCTAACCATCAAACATATCATTTATTAGTGTTTGCAAACAATCATAAATACCCATTAACCATCTTATACTAAAATCCTTAGTACCCACTCTCTTAATTGTCGTTATTTTTTTGCTTCGCGGCCCTGCCTCTAGAACCCAGCAAGGGGGCACGACCCTTTGACCCACCCAGCATATAGTGTCATTCAGCGATCATGGGTTCTAGTTAGCTTATATGAGTGCACACTTCACAACTCTTAACCCGTGTTATAGCTTAACTAACAACTAGGGGTAAACAAGCTTAGTCGAGTCGAGTCGAGTAATATGTTATTCGAGCTCGTCTTACAAAATACCAGGCTCGAGCTCGACTTGAGCTCAAATAACTTTTTCAATGTAGGACTCGAGCTCGAATAATTTTTGATTTATTGAACTCGAGCTTGATGCTCATTTACGGGCTTGAACTCGTGATCAATTGACTTGTTCATTATCTCGAAGTTGATAATTTTTTTATATTTGTATTATATGACTTATGAACATATTATCATGTTTTGCTCAAAAAAGTGTATGCTCGAATGGATAATATAAAGAGATAAAATGACCAATTTATCATTAATAAATTATTTATATATTTTGATTAATTTATTAAATTATAATAAAATAAATAATTTTATAATACAATATATCATTAAATAGTTTTTATCAAGACGATTAAAATTACATTGAATTAAAAAAACATTTCATGTCCAATTTTTATTTTATACCTTTTTATATTGTTAATATTTGATAAATTACATATATTGAGAACCGGAAACTAAAAGAAAGAACAGAAAATACAATAAAATAAAATTTAAAGAGTGAGATGTATTTGATGTTTAATTTAGAAGAAAACTTTGTTTTATTTTTGAGATTATATTGACAAAATATAGGTTTGTTCCACCTTATTCAATGGGATAAGGGTGGAACAGACATGTTCCATTTTGTTTTTGTCTGTTCCACATAAAAGTTCTATAAAAAAATGAAACAGTTATGTTTTTGATTTTGTTTTTATACTTAGGGACCATTTTATTATATTCTTTTATGAATACGATCGGGGTTCTTTAGGGCCTATTTGATTATAATTTCAGAAGATGGTATGAATTCTATACTTTAACGGTTTTCATTATTTATTGTCGTGTCTATTTAAGACGGTATCAATTTAGTATGTATATTGTGTATAAAGAGAGAATATTTTGAATACAAACTATGTAAATGTACGTTACACGTAGTATAAATCAATCTCGACGCTTAATTTCGTGTATTTTGAAACGTTTAGGCAACTACCAAATCAGTTGTAGATAAATTTGAGAGTAAATTTTCGAAACCAATTTAATCTACACCATTATCTCGTTCTTACCGGGTAAGATTCTTGGTCCTTACCATATTCATCCGGTGAAGTAATGTTACTTGGTAAGCGCTTACCCGGATAAGCTTTTGGTAAACAGTCACTTAGTCATCTTATCAACATATTAATATTCATGGATTTACATACCACATCCTATGAGACTTCTATGTAACCAATAAATCTTTACATTTACGTAACTATTTACAAGAATTATATTTTATGAAGTTTGTTGGGAATTCAAAAATATGTATATTGTGTCTATTGGAAATGACTCGAATGAGAATATAACGTAATCGTATCGTTACAAGAGAGACAAGGTCATTAACAATGAAGTAGACTTGGATTGAAATTGACCATTGACTTAATGAGTTACAAGTATTATGTAATATTTTCTAAAGTAAATGCAAACTTGAGAGTTTGTTCGAAAGTAAAGAGTACTTTTCATATGGTATATTTTGGAAGTGGATAATAATCATGCATTCTCTTATCTCTCTAACTTTGTCAATCAATAAAGTAGACTTATGAGTTGAAACTAACCATTGACTTTATGACTTAAAAAATAGAATTGACATATTTTGAGATAGAACAAAAAATAGAATTGACATATTTTGAGATAGAACAAAAATACGATATATTATAGCAACTTGAATATTGTGGTCCCGCACATGTTTCATTCATTTACATTAACTTTCGAACAAACTCTCAAATGTTCCATTTACTTTAGAAAATACTACATAATACTTGTAACTCATTAAGTCAATGGTCAATTTCAATCAAAGTCTATTTCATTATCAACGACCTTATCTCTCTTGTAATGATACGATGACGTTATATTCTCATTTGAGTCATTTCCAATAAACACAATATACATATTTTTGAATTCCCAACAAACTTCATAAAATATAACTCTTGTAAAGATTTATTGGTTACGTAGAAGTCCCATAGGATAGGATTTGGTATGTAAATCCATGTGAATCGCCAATAATAAATTAATATGTTGATACATTGACTAAATTTAAATAATTATTTTACTTTGTTACATAATAATATTTATTATACACTTATGTAATTATTATTATGAATCCTTAACCATAATTCAATATCTAATACAGTTAATTACTTAATTAGGGGTGTTAATTACTTAATTAGTCATTATCAACAGATTACCTACGGTTCTTATCGTCGAAGGAAATGTTGCCGGTGATTATGATTACCCACAAATTTACTAGCTGAAAAAATCCATCAAATTATCACTGTCGATCCGTCAAAAATTTGTACCATGAAAAGTCCATCGATGAAGCCTTTTTTAGTGTTAGTGGTTGGCTGGTTGCACAGTCTGGTAAAACTTCAGTAACAATTTAAGTTCATAAAACTAAGTGACATAGAAAATATTACAGATCTTGACAAACAAAAAGAAATTGCAAAATATGTTAATAAGTCACTGAAGCTAACGATTTTTTATTTAATAATGATATATTATATGTGACGTATTTTTTTAAGTTGTCACTCATAACGTAAACATGCTAATAAACCATAATACGGAACTTAAACTTGAAACTTTACATTACGGTAGAAACATCTATTATTAAATCCTTTTGTTCCTTTCTTAAAGTACATGTACAATGAGAACTTCCAACATTTCAACTAATCTTTCCAAGTTTTAGATCTTTCTCTGTCTTTTGAAATTTTTGGGATACCTGATATTGAGATAAAAACATAAATTTTAAAATAAGAATAGTCAGACAAAGACCTCGTGAACTCATGAGTTTTTAAAATGTGCATAACACAATCATAAAACGTCATTCACAATACAGTAAACATCATGTAAAATCAATGCATGTCATAAAACTATTTTCATACTGAAGATCTCTCTTTTTGTGTTGTATGTGCCATGTGGATAAATTTGATAATAGTGATTATAAATCACCCGTTACGTTTCAAATACATGAACAAATCGCATAAACTAAAAGCCCTTTGATTGCGGTTTCTCATACACACACACACACACACACACATATATATATATATATATATATAACGAGACCTAATCAAATGAGAACTAATTAGTTTGTGGTAATCGTGAGGTCCAATCTCAACCACAAATTAATAAATAAATTAGGAAATTTATAATTTTAGTAATTTTGAATTAAAATTTTAATGCAAGGTTATTTTAGGTATTTTAAAACTCTTTTCTCTCTCCTTTCTCCTCTCTTCTCTCTCGGTCCCCCGTCCTTCGTCCTCCAGTGATACCACAATAGTATCACAATGCATCTTATATGTGTTTGGATATCACACTATGGTCGTTTGTGTGATCGATTGGAGGTGCAACACAGTGGTATCACAATGCATCTTATATGTGATTGGGTATCACAATGTGTCTTTTGTTTAACATAGTCAATATTTTTAGGTATCACCGGAGGACGGGGGACGGAGAGAGGAGAGAAAATACCTAAAATGTCCTTGCATTAAAATTTTAATTCAAAATTACTAAAATTATACATTTTTTAATTTATTTATTGATTTGTGGTTGAGATTGGATCTCACGGTTACCACAAACTAGTTAGCTCTTCCTTGAATGAGCCTCTCTCTCTCTCTCTCTCTCTCTCTCTCTCTATATATATATATATATATATAAGGTTGGATTCCGGTGAGAAGCATAAGAAGAGATTTCCACCTTGGATGCAGATTAAGATGAGATGCACCAAGAAGAGATGCACTGATATGCACCGGATCATTCCCTATATTAAATACGATTCATGGGTGGGTTTAAGATTAAATGTGATCAGAGATCTCACGCTTAACTCTACTTCTTATCGAGAACCCAACCTTATATATATATATATATATATATATATATATATATATATATATATATATACA